GAAGGGGCTAGAGGGGTTCTCTCGTTCACAACCCTTCTTGTGTCCTTATATCGTTATGTAATGCATCTGAATTTGTAGAATCTAATGGAACTTGAAATGGCTGAACAAAACGACTAAATACTTTTGTTGAAAAGCTCCTATGGTGTCGTCAGGCAGGTCAAATGACCACCGACATGTCCAGGGTCTTGACACGATTCCCAGCCGCCAGGAAGAGGCAATAGCTGAACCGAGGCTCCTCTGAATAACGTCAGTGATCTTTTACACCTCAGCCCTTTGTAAAGTGTCAGCATGGGGTTTTTGTCGAGGGTGGTACTGGCCTATTTTAGTGGCAGCCTTTCATCACGGCTTTCTCCACCACAGCAATAATTAAGTGGCACCAGTCTGTCACACGCCGAAGAGGCAGCAGTGCCTTGTTCCTTGTTCACTGTAGCTGAAACTCGCCTCTCTGAGGACTCATCCAAGGTTCAGCCCTGACGCCTGCTTCAAAAAACAAGCAGGCAGCGCACAGCAGATTAGATTAAGCAAAATGGAAATCTAACGATGGGAACATTCGGAGTGTGCGTTTTGTTCCTTTTTCTCCTTTCTAGCAGTTTTAAGAAAAAAACAAACAGAAACATTGGATGCCCTGAATGCCTGTGCTTTGGTTGTTCTGTCACTGTATTCGTTATTAACAGTTCTAGGGAAATGCAGCGCTATTGTAATGCAACGCACTGCCACACTGCGTTTCACATTCCGGTCACGGAAATCCTCTCAGTATGACACCCTCCAATCCCCCAATCCCCCACACCCCTCCTCCGCTATTCCCTGCAACTCACGAGTGTGCAAATAATCGGCAAGGTCACACGCCCCGGGATTCTGGGATCCTGCCTCTCCCAGCGGGGAGCCGGTTTAACTACCCCAAAATAAAACACAGCGCCTCCCTTTCCTTACTGGCCTCCTGGGTTTCATTGAAGCCGACTGGACGCTGGAATTGGGAACCGCGTTTGCAGTCTTCAGAATTAAATGAACGTGATGAATGTGTACTGTATGCCAAGGGTGTTGCAGGTTAATAAAATAAAGGTTTTAAATCTGGTATCCAGGACTCTCGGTTGCCCTTCTGACAGAGGGTTAGTAGTTGTAATACTGTTACTGCCGTGGAACGAAGGGGACGAAGTTAATATCCTTGTCATGGGTATTTGTAGGAGAAGGAATCTACATTAAGAGATTTGAGCAAGTGTTGACACGTGCTGCTCTGTCTTGTCAGCAATCACAGCAGTGTTCTGTTGCCTCTTCTTGATTTAGATTGAAAAGAAATGTTTAATTGCTGGCAGATGAATGATCCAGGGATCCCATCCAGCCTGCAAGACGTCCTTTGGTCGACTTCGTCAGTGGCTTTGATGATTTTCAAATACTTGCGTCGGATTTATTTGTCCAGGCTTGCATCTTGTCTAAGTCTTCATCGGCTTCCTTTGCTGCTTTCACAGTTGTCACAGTAACTTTCAGCCCTGGGTTTATCATCAAAGCTTTGCTTTGTTGACACCAAACATATCCAGATATTCTTTCGTTGTTTTTTAATTGCTAGGTGGTTCTGTTCTTTCTGTTCAGACTTTCTTATTATTACCCAGAGGGAATCAAGGTGCCCAGTGGTTGGCATTGCTGCCTTGCAGTGCTGGGGCTCTGGGCTCAATTCTGGACCTGGGATGCTGTCTGTGTGGAGTTTACATGTTCTTCCCACATTTGCATAGGTTTCCTACAGATGCATCAGTTTCCCATTGTGCCAAGACCTACTGGTAATGAATTGGTTTCTGGGAAGATTGGCATTGGTGTTAGTGTCTGTGTTTGTCTGCCCGGCGATGGACTGGCGTCTCGACCAGGGTGTGTCCTGCTTCGTGCCTGTTACTTGCAGGGACCCTGATTTGGAAGAAGTGGCTAGAAAAAGGCTGGATGGGTCATTATCTGGTTCCAATTCTTATTCCACTCCTCGTTTTAAGCTGTGTTAAGTTCTGAACCCTTTTTTTAATTAGTGAGTCATTTTTCCAGGGCTTCCTCCGCCACACGGATCCACCAGCTGATCCTAAACGAGAGCCGTCTTATTCATGTTTTCAGGCTGTGATGTTGCTGGGTACGTACGCCCTGGGGAAGTGAAAAACTTGTTTATGTAAAACAGAGGACCATGCAGTTCTGATCTTGACCTTAGAACTGGCGAGCATTGTGAGAAGACCTTATTTCTTTCTAGTGCAAAACTGAACTGCTTCAAGCAAATCAGCTAATTCTGCAGACCTAGATTCAGGGAAGCCAATTATAATTTATAGGTTTCCCACTGTAAAATCACTTCGTTATATGTTTTATGTGCACTGCAAAGTGAAAAAAAAACTAATTAAAAGCTTTTCTGCTCACAAAGCAGCAACTCCTGTTTCCCTTGGCTGTGTTGGAACAGAGCCATTATTTTCATTAATTATCTGCATATGTTTTCTTGAATGCTTCTTGACATTTTCACACTTTGGAGCGAAGTATAATGTAGGAACTGTGCTGAGGAACACTGTGTGAGGGGAGATAACTCCACAGGCAAAAGGCAACGCAGAGTGATTTTAATTTGATGCCTTTTTCCATTTAAAACTCGTTCTCTCCTGAAGGTGCCGACTGCGTGCTTTGAGCTCGATAGATGTGTCAGAATTGTGATCTGGAGCATCGAGCGTCAGAAGTAAACTTGCTGCTGTTTTTCTCCTTTTTGATGTTGTTAGAGCTTCCAAATTAACTAGAAGTGCAGTGCTCAGATAATTCTGAAATTGCAGGCGGTTCGATTTGTTTTTAAGGGTTACAGTTGTAAAGCACCAATAGAAGCTGACCATCGGGAACATTATCCATTGTATGAATTCTACTTCAAAGATTGTAAAGAGAAACTGAAATGGACTTGGCCTCAACATCTAAGTTTATATTCATTGTTTTTTCCTGTCGCTTTATAATATTATTAGATACCCTTGGAGATAAGACCCTGGTCATTTTTATTCTCTCTGCAGATTAAGAGTATTGAGAATAGCCCCAAGTACAGCTGTCTGCATCACTACAGCTCTGTGGACAGACGGATGCTTGTCTTTGCCTTCTATGTGCAGCTTCTCATGTAACAAGCACAACTTGCAACAAAGAAAAAAACGTGATTCCTTGCTTATAATTTGGGAACATTGCCTTGTATGCACAGTGTTGGAAATAGCATGTAAGGCTGTCTTATTTTTTAACTCTTCTTCCAAGGCTCTTTCAGAGCATTGCACAGAGGCTTAGGAACTGGCAGATGTGAGTATCTCCCAAGGCTGAAGTGCTGTTCTGTGGATATGTGTGAATCAGATGACTTTATTTGCCTCAAGGAGTGGGGAGAAGTTTTGAGTGCTGGACTCAGGTGTTACTTTTGTCTTCGTGTGCAGAAAGCGCTATCTTCTGTGATGGTGTTCAGACAGACAGCATATCCACGGGCATGTATTTGATTTTGTGAAGCTGCATCACTGACACGGTACTCCTGACCTGCATGCGTTAGGGGTCCTCAGCCTTTGTCCTCCTTCCTTGGTGTTTGAAGCAGAGCGCGCTGTTCTGAAAGGGAATCCAGAGCAGCCACTTTTTTTATCCTTAGTCTGCTGTATCTGGCTAGAGGAGCAGATTTCAGAGACATGCTGGACAGTGTCAAAGGCGCTCAATGTTGCCAGCATATTGGGGTGCATGCATTAAAATGCGTTCACATTGGGAAATTTGTTGACCCCATTCCTCACACTTTCTTTCTAACTGGTTTATTGGATAGGTGGTTGCTCACTCACACCGGGGCCAGTTTTCCCAGAGGCCAGTTAACCTGCTGGCATGTCCTTGGACTGTGGGAGGAAGCCGGAGCACCCGGAGTAAACCCACAGGAGCACAAGGAGCACAAACAAACTCCTCCCCACGCCTTAACACACCTCGGTGTATAATATCACGTCTCGATATCGATGAAGGCTTCATTAGTTGTCGATGCCCACTTCTCCTGAAGGTGGTTCTTGTTCCTCTGGTGCTAGTGTAGCCACCATGAAACACATTCGAAAGTCATTTCCTGTTGCTGCCAAAATAAGTTCAGATATTGGGGTTTGTCTTTTTTTTGTAGGGCTGGTTTTCCAAATTATTTATTGACCCATTTCTGAAATGTACATCTTCGTTGGCATTTCCCATCCCATGCAAAGACCTTTTCACTTTTTCAGATTAAACTTTGGTTGCTTATGATGCACTGATCAGTTATTAAATTATAGTTACAGAAGTAACTAACAAATAAGTTGACTGTGGCGGCTGAGACAAGGCATAATAGTTACTTAGCACTGTGTAAGCACAGTCCTTTTGTGATCTCTCAAATAATGTAATATTTAGTAATAATGCACTTGCCCCTGTTTTAACAGCAGTATGATCAAAAATACCGGGAGCGCTAGAGAGCTCACAGAGCTGCTGGCTCTGGACACTGTACTGTGCTGTATCTCCTATGAAATTCTGTTTGATCTTTATGAGTGAGCTGCCTTGAGAATTACTGAATATGTAATTAGATGCAGAAACTGAACCGCAACTTTTTAAACTCCTTTGACAAGAGCTCCCAGAGTAACTTCTCATTTTAGCAGTCAGAGAGCAGGAATCATGAAAGTTTCATCAGTCTATTTCTGTTTCTGGACACTTGGAGAACAATCAGTTTTGTAACTGCATAATCCAATTCAGGGGCGTGGAGGAGCTGGAGCCTATTCTGGCATGCAATGGGGTACACCCTGGACAGGACCCCAGTCCATCACAGGACACACACAGACACAGACGCGCACACACTCACAGCAGGGCCTGTTTTCACAGAAGCCAATTAACCTGACAGTGTGTGTTTAGACTGAGAGAGGAAACTGGAGCACCTGGAGGAAACCCATGCAGATGCAGAGAGAACATGCAGACTCCACGCAGACAGCACCCCTGGTCTGAAATTGAACCCAGGGCCACAGCGCTGCGGGGCTGCAGTGCTAACCCCTGTGCCACCGTGCCACCTTTGAAGTGACTATTTTAGATCAAAACCTTTACTGCACAATAGGAACACCTTCAGGGGAGAAAGCAGTTAAATGTCTACAAAGAGTAAACATGACCCGAGGGTTTGGGATGAGTCTCAGTCCTGTTGTGCTGTCTTTGTGCTCTGTGCTCAGCTGCGTGCAGTGGGAAAGTGGAACAGCACACAGAGAGGCGAGGAGTCATTTACAGCCCGTCGTGGCCACTCAACTATCCAGCAGGGATGAACTGCAGCTGGAACATCCAAGGAGACAAAGGAGACGTCATCACCATCAGGTAGGTGGTGAGGAGCTGGTCCTTACTGAAACAGCATTCACACGGCCTACGAGTGTTCTAGCCTGCCTGCTATTATAAGCACTCACTTTTTATTGTAAAACAGCATGATGCTTCTCTGGCTCTGCTTTAAGCAATGTAAACAATTGATATTTGAGCAAAATTAGATGCTTCTTATTTTCAATAGGTGCTTTAGGGTTGTGTTTAGGTAGATTCTCATTGCTTATATGGATCAGGTAGAGCAGTGGCCCTAATGATAATAATAATAATAATTCTTTACACATATGTACACTTTATAAATGTAAGCAATTATTAATTAATGACATTTTACCTGTCTGTAGTAGTTGGTCTGTAGCTACATCTGTGAAGACCTGTGAAGAGTTATGAATTTACATTTTTAAACAGCACCATTTGCTTTGCCTGTGGTTAATGTGAACTTATGATTGTATCTTGGAGATTATGACCTTACACTGTCTTAGTTGTTTCAAAACCTAATCAGATGTCTTGTAAACTCTCCAAAGTAGATCGGAGGAGGAGGGATTTCAATGGAGCATGTCTTGGAAACCAGATAATCAATATTCCCATAATTACATGCTGGAACAACACAGTGACCAGTGGAGACTCTGAGCTGTTAATGATAGAGGATGAAGGGTCTCCTGGTTGCGAGTGCCAGGATACTGGTCTCAGCTGCACTCTTTGAATCCAATTTGCTTTCTTTTTCATTCCACTCTGAGTGCTATCTCCTCTCACACCTAAAATTGCTTTGGGAATTAGTGCTTTTCATAGGCGATCAACAATTTCACAGTTTCTCACAGGCGTGTATCACCAAGCCGGTTGGTGTGTTCT